ACAGTGTTGGTAGGTGGGTGGGTTTAGTGAAAGAAATACAGAGAGGCTTTCCCCAGATCACCCAAAGTTGGGCTGGAAGCAGCTGTTGTCAACTTCTGGTTGTGTTTAATATGAAGTCTTTCAGGAGAAGAAAGGTTCCTGTGCCAAACACGTAACTTCTAATGACCCTTCCATGGGATGGAAGAGCACGTGCCGCTCAGTGTTGCTATTGCTATAGGAGATGCAGCCCCCCTTCAGCTCTCTGATAAAGCTGTGCCTGATAAAATGTGTTTTATTTTGGCATTATTGTGTATTTTGCTCTTGTATGTGCTTGCTGGCCACATAAATGTCTAACGTTTTTAGTTTAGCTAAGTTACTAGCAGGGATATCTTGTGGCAGGAAGTCCTGTAGTGTATTTGCTCACTGTAAAAAACCCTGTTATCTGTTTGGAGTTTGCTGCTGTCTGATTTAATTAATTACATCATTAACTTCTTGAACAAAACAGGCCGAAAAGTTTTATATTCTACATGCTTTTAGGGGGCTTTGCCATGCCTTACCAACACATGGGGTTTAATAACCAAAGAGTGCTCAGCTTCATTAAGTGGTTCAGTAGAACTTGATAGCACAGAGGATCATGTTACCCGTCTGCTACCATTTCTGCCTGCAAACAGTTTTGGACTCCTGTGAAAAGAGAAAGTTGAGTTTTGCAGTGTTCTGAGTTATATTCCCCTTGTATTTGAAAAGAAGCACCTTGCAAATGGGATTCTGGCTGGTTATTATTATCTCTATATGTAGATAACTCTCGAATAATAATGTGTACAGGGATTTCTGATGAAGGATAGGGAGGAAGATGATTGAAGGCAGTTACAGATGGAAGTCACAGATTCCTCTTGTATGGTGACAGTTTCCAAGCTCTCTACAGCAGATTTTTCTCTGGCCTAATATGTAGTTTATCATATTTCTCTCACTTTTTATGACTGATTTATCTTTGCTTTGAGTTCTTTTTCTGAGAACGCTTACAGCACCCAGCAATGAATAAATGTAAATGATTATTTATGGTTTGTGGAAAATGACTCAGTATTTTCTTTAATTCATTATAGTGATGAGAGGATTTCTGTAGTATACAAATATGTTTATTTCAAATCGTTTTGTATGGTGTAGAAACCATTCTGTTGGCCACTGAGTCTTGTTTAAAAGAGCACGGGTATTGTTTCCAGTGGGACATATGGAATCCGTGCATTTTGGGGTGTATACTACAACCAGGTCAATTTGGGGCTTGCAGGCTTTTCTGCTGGGTTTGTTGCATATAGTGTTGTTGTTTTCTTTCTTTTGGGGGGACATGATCCAAAATGTAAAGCAAAACTTGTGGGAGGCATGCAAACCTACTGGCGTATCTGTTGAGAGTGGAAGGAAAAATGCTTCTTCAGACCCTTGTGAAGCAATATTGCTTAATTAACCCTACTTAAGCCCTACCTTGTGAAAAGGTTAATGGGATTTTTAATGACCTTAAGTGGTCAAGGCCTCAATTTTACATTTCTTCTGAAAGAAAATGGAAAATAGAACAAGAAAGCTGTTCAAACTTCAGTGAATCTGGGAAAAAATAGGTTTACAGCAACAGTTCAGGTCATTTCCTATTTCATTTGAAATGGTTTACCCATTCCTTACCTGGGATCCATTGGCATCATAGTGGCTATCTGATGCACCCAGTGGCCACTAACAGGATCTGTGTGTAGACTGCAGCTTTGCTTCCTGGCAGGGTGAAGGGTCCATTGCTCTGCAGTGACTTTGCATACAAAGAGCCAGAACGGAGATGCCAGAATGGAGATGCAGCACATCATACCCTCACCCCAACGCCTTCCCTAGTATTCTCTCTGTGTGGTACTGCTTCTCTCTTTCCCTCTAGAGATAAATACTTTATCAGTGCTCTTCTTTCTGCCTTCACAGGCACCAACTGCCCTTTCTTTGAACAATAGCTAAACTGGTCCATATCCAACTAAACTCTCACTATAGAATCATAGAATGGTTTGGGTTGAAAAGGGTCTTAAATTCATCTAGTTCCTGCCACAGGCAGGGACACATCACACTGGTTTTCATCTCTGATATCTGCTGCTTCTGTTTAAGACCCAAGGAACAGCTTGTACACCCAGTTTGTCTACCTTCCCCAGCTATACCCATAACTCTTGGGAAGGTCTTGTGTTGACCATGTCCCTAGCAGCTTGGGTTCAGCTGCAGCCCGTTATAGAGCACGGGCTCATTCTCTCTGTCTGATTTTGTGTCAGCCCAATCTCACTGCAGCTGTCTTTGCTTTGAAGTTTTGTGAGCACTTGCCTGGTTTTGGGTGGCTCTGACCTTGTTGTGTCATACTTGATTCTTCAATATAATCCTGTTCAAAAACTTATCAAGTTGTTGTTATTGCCACAAACAAGTGGTATAATATAAGTGCATCCATTTTTGAAACATTACTATTACTAGTAATAATTGTATTTCCATTCCCATTGTGCCGTCTGTCTGCATGTTTCACAGTGGTTTTCAGACCTCATTAATGAATGGAATCAGAATAATGGCTTTGGTGAAGTAGACAAATAGCGTTAATAAATTGAGAGTTTATTTTTGAAGCAAGGTTTCTCCAGCTGATCTAATCTGAGCTGCACCAGTAGTGCATATGGAGACAAAGGTGCTCAAGAAAATAGAATTAAATAGAGTCTTTAGGCTTTATCTCTTAAAGTCTAAAGACTTAAAGATCAGCTGATAGGTGATCGTTGCTTTTCCCATGATATAAACCCTAAGTTCTTCCTATATGCTTGCAAGAATGCCCATGATTAATTTACTTTGCTACTTGTTTTCATTAAGCAATTTCAGGTAATTTTCACACATTTACTTGAAAAGGCACTTGAGCTATAGGTACATATTGGGGTACATATTGGGCACTTGAGCTACAGGTACATATTGGGGTACATATTGGGCACTTGAGCTACAGGTACATATTGGGGTACATATTGGGCACTTGAGCTACAGGTACATATTTCAGGGTATTCTGACTATGAAAGGGCAGTAATTGTGCAGCTTATGTGGAAGATACCATGCATTAGTAGAGCTCTAGTAGAATTATGGCTGTTACTCTTCATGAGCTGGCCTCAGAGGGTGATACAGATGTTCTGCCTGGCAGAAAACATACACACCCATACATGCATAGTAATCACTGCATTGTAAGAGTTAATTAATAAGAGAGATATTGCTTGTGAACAGTCAATACAGCAATGCATTCATCCACAGGGTCAGGAAAGTGCATCCTTTGAATTTATCTAATTTAGTATATGGCAGAACACTTTGAGTGCTGCAGATGAAGGTATTAATTGCATTAAAAACCTGTTCATAATTAGGTTTGGAATGTAACTGTAATCCCTGGGATCAATGGATCCTGACACCTACCAAGTGGCGGGAGGGTAAAACCTTTTATAACCCCGATGAATGCTTGTGTGTGTCACATCCTTATTACACAGAAGAGTAGACGTTAAAGGTTGGGGAGTGGAACTCAGGTGCTGTACAATTTGAACTCACTGCAGTGGTGTCGTGTTTCGTTCCTTTGGGCCCATGTCAGCAGTGGCGTTGTCGTGGTTTAAACCCAGTCAGGTAATTCGTTCGCTCACTTCCCCCCCCCTTTCTTGCCCTCCCCCTACTCCCAGAGGGACGGAGAGGAGAATCGAAAAGAATGCAACTCCCACGGGTTGAGATAAGAACAGTTTAGTAACTAAGGTATAACACAAATCACTACTGCTACCACCAATGATAATAATGATAAAGGAAATAACAAGGGAAGAGAGTACTACACCTCAGCACCAGCCAACCGATAACTCGCCCCCCCCCAGCCCGACCAAGCACTGACCGATACCTCCTCCAACCCTGCAGTCCCCCAGCCCTTCCGGCTAACTCCCAGTTACATCCTGGGCATGACGTGCTGTGGTATGGAATACCTCTTTGGTCAGTTTGGGTCAGGTGTCCTGTCTCTGCTTCCTCCTGGCTTCCCCTCCTCCCTGGCAGAGCATGAGGCTCACAAAGTCCTTGGCCAAACCAAAACATCTCTATCAGCTCTGTTCCCGAGCTGAAAGTCAAAACACTGCACTGCACCAGCTACCAAGGAGGAGAAACATGACTGCTACTGCTGAACCCAGGACAGGCGTGATTGTTAGGAATTCCCTTGAAGCCAAAGAAGTGTTTCAGGATGCTGAATTTTGCATTATACTTTTGGGCTTGGCACTGGCAAGAGAGCAAAAGAATTAAGTTTCTTCTCAGAAGTCCATGGCATAAACTTTGGCTATTGCTTCTTTGTGGCATGTGAGCATCTCTCTGAAAGTGTGCATTCCTTATAGCTGGTGATCATATATATATATATATATATATATATATATGTATACGCATACATATGGAGAAGAATACAATTACTTTATGCAAGTCAAACTCAGGGGAATTAAACATGGCCACAGTCCCTTGTTCCAAAAGCACTCATTAAACCTTCAGGTTTTGAAAATGAAACTCTGTCCCCATAATGCTTTCTTTCTGCGTGAAAATAACCAGCAGAGAATCTTTCTTTACTACCTGAGGTAGGAGGCAGGTATACATATATTCCTGTCATTCTCTGTACATGTTGTATGTGTGCCTATTCTCACGCTCATTCAGACATGCAAACACTATGCACACAGAGCGCCAGCAGTACATGCGGTGCTTCCCGAATGCAGATAAGTACAGGCACAGTTCCTGTAGAACACGTGCATGCTGTATCCGTACAGAAAGACACTGTAACCTCAGAGTTTATTAAATCAAAAGGAGCATTTAAAAATTGCTTAACTTAAATGGTGTGTCACTTCAAGCTGATTTGTGGGAAGCTGTTAAATAAGTCTTCCTGTCTCCCCAAAAACACCCCAAGGATCAGTTCTCTAATGTACTGTTCTGCCATCAAATCTGTACAAACAAGTATAAATGTTTAAAAAGTAAAGAATCCTAATCAAGAGACGGGAGCCTTGCGCTGCTTAATAAATCCTGCCTTCAATTTATTTGTCTAGTATTACAAAGGCAGAGGAGATATCAATTAATATAGGCAAAGAGGACCCATAATTTATAATTAACTGGCAAGTGGTTTGTAACAAACAGCAGCACTGAATCTAATAGCCAGTAGAAAAATAACTAGTGTTGATTTGTCCCTCGGCAAATTAATAGAGTGCTTATCAATGACAGGGTTACATAAAACTGCTAAATAAATAATCATCAGTGAGTTAGAGTGAAGCAGATCTTTAACAAGCTTAATCTGAACCTCTTGACATCTGTAGACTATGAAGAGATTAAATACTAAGAAAGGGAAGCTGCACTATACACATTGTAAGCATGCTCGGTAGCTGTGCAAGATCATGTTCTTAGGTAATGAGAAATAAGGAAACATTTTTATTACAGAATTACATTGAAAAATGATTTTCATTATAATTAGACTGAAAATTATAAAAGGTATATCAAAGAAACGCTGAATTGGAATTAACCAGATGAGAATGGCACTACATCTCTGAGCAATGAAAACACATCAGCGCAGCCGGGTTTGATATATTTTTGGCTCAAGGATTTTTCTGGGGTTTATTACTCACCTTTGTCCATTCCTGGTTTCTGTGTCACTTCTGCTGATATTCCCTGGTAGCTCACTTAAATCATCGCAACAGCTAAGCAGTGCACCTGATTTTCAGAATGTGTCTTATTTATGAGCCTGGAGATATATATATATTGGATATAATTTCTAGACATGTTTTACTTTTATAAAGGCTTTTTGTGCAATAAGTCTATGTATGAAGGTCTCTCCAGTCCTTGCTTAATGAGAATATGAGTCAGTTTTGGCCTGGAAAGCTCACAGATCTCAGAAGACCCAGCTAGAGCCATGCTGGGGAGTCTTAAAAGGCTTTGTCTCCAAGTGGACATGTACAGCAATATTCTTCCCAAGGAAGGGGAGAGCAGAGGCTGTTTTTCATTGTGCTTGATGCACAGGGATTGGAGATGTAACACAGATCCTGTAGGGTCACCAGTAGCTCCTTGCGAGACAGCTGGTAACCGGTTTATGGCTGTGTCTCCTTTGCAGATGTTTTGGCATCAAGGAGGAAAGGGCTGTCCTCTCTAAGACAGCTCTGAATTAGACTGGAGCATGAATTCCAGGGAATTAATTACTCCTAGTTTTTTCTGGAGTGCTCTGTCCTTTCTCTGGCTCTGAGAAGAAAGGCATTTTAAGCCAGTGATACTGCCATCTCTTTGGGACAGCGAGGCAGTGTGCGAGCAAAGACAGAGCTGAGTAATTCCATCAGAAAGCTTTGTTGGAACTTCCAGGAGTTTGATCTGGAGCAGAACCTGACCTGCAGTGAAGGGCTGCAAGTCCGTTTTTGTGTGTGAAAGCAAAGCTGCCCTGACACAGGCGGGCAACATCTGGGGAAGAGCATCCTTTTGGGAGCTCACACCTTCTTGTCCATCTCTTGTAATCCCCCTCATCCTAAAGGAGCAGAAGGACTCCTACTGTATTACTACTCATTCAGGGGAAGTTTCTCTTCTAATCTTTTCAAACGTGACAATGAGGCAGTCCAGGTACCAGAGATAAGTAGCTTGATGAGTCTGAATTACCTTAGGTGGTGTTATGAATAGGAGCTAATCGTCTGTCTGCAGAGGAGATCTTCCTGGTGAGGAGACTAATTTCATCCTTTTCTAGCTTCATAGGTTTGGGGTGTGTGTTTGTTTGGATTAGGCTGTAGATTTCCTCAAACCTATTTATCGGTGCTAGCAAAGAACATTATGAGCAAAAGAAACGTTATCTTTACATCCAGCATCTCTTTTGCCCCTTTTCTAGACTCTTCTCCCTGTAAAGGCTGAGAAAGAGGGAATTTTTGGGACCCCACGTGCAACAAAGGCAATTTTTTCCTAGTGTAATCTCAATTTTCTCTCTCCCCTTCTTCTCCCCCCACAAAAGTTAAGCCTCTCTCAATATTGATAACACTATGTATTTAAAAGCAAGAAGCTTCTTCTTGCTTTGGGTTTGGCAGCATCTTAGCCTAATGCAGAGCAGGTCCACCCCTACTTAGCTCAGTGCAAGCTGAGTAGTATCTTTAAGATCACGTGCTGTGTATACTGCTTGGTTTATGTCTGTGTATCACTGTGATTTGTCACCCTCTGCTATTTTTTACAGATTGTTCCCAAATTTAGTAGAATCCTCCTCCAGCTCCTCCAACCGCAAAGAGCTGCCTGCTGGCACACAACTGTATCACTCACACTGGGTTAAATCAGGAACGAGCGAGTTCAGAAGAATGTATTTTTCTGTTGTGTAATATCATAGCATCGTGCTATTCTAGAACAAACTGTGCCATATATGTTTATGGGTCTGTTTATGGATCTCCATTCATCCTACATCAGGTGGGCCTAGAGACTGACAAATGTTTGTTTCCTTGGTAGCGGTTGTTTCACATCACGTCTGTGATGTCCAGATTCCTGTATGGGAGCAGGGTGCTGTTGCTATCCACCTCTACCATCTACTCTGTAGAGACTGTTTCTGGCCTCATAATTGTTTTGTGTTCCAGAGAGCACCTTTCACAGGAGCATATCATGAATCAAAGTGTGAGCTTTTGCAAGGCTGGAAGGAGTGTTGTAAGTAGGAGACGTTCTTCTGCTGTGTGTCAGGTTGAGCCGAGACAGACAGTGCACTGGAAAGGAGAGGTTTTCTGTGTGCAGTAACAGGTAGATGGTGATATGGAGCAGAATCTGTGGAAAAGAGGATGTTAACTGTGAAAAATACTACTTTGAGTGGGTGAGTGCCTGTGGAGACATGAGCAAGGAGATGGGGTACGTGGTGTACTGCGTTCTTCTCATGGCACTCATGCAGTGACTGCCCCAAAATTCAGCTTTTTGAAGTGGGGTTTGGGATATATATAGAAGTAATATATATATGTATATATGTGTGTGTGTGTGTGTATATATATATATACTTTTTTAATAAAGAAAATGTAGTAGCTTTGCACATTGCTGTCAACACTGTGGTAGGATCGCCCATGTCTAAGGTGCGATCAGGGAGGTTACAGGGCATTCATCAAAATCAAGCTGATGCAAGCATGAGTACTCCCAAGAATGAGGCCTTTTATGCTGGCAAAAATGCTGAAGGCTGAAAAGGGGCTAATTTATTTAAATTACCTGTATACATGTCAAGCCCCATAGTTTTTCCAGAGGAAGCTGACAATTGCAAGTTAAAGAAAGCTTTTCTTAAACATAACAACAAAAACCTAAGAGAGAAGGTTACACCAGGAAGCCCGAGCACCTGAGACAATAAGCATCTGTAGGGATGCAGATGCACAAAAATCCAGTTTTCTGCTATTAAGCTTTTAAATGTCAGTAAATGGCAGTTTAGTAGTTCATTTGCTAATAATGATTACATTTCTCATTAAAATGTTTCCATCATTATTCTTCAGGTAGAAAAGTGTAATTCAACGATTGTTACATCAATTATACTTAAAAAGCTCATTAAAATACTGAAATATTATCTCTCATAGCCAGAGTACTTTAAGAGTACTGTACTAATTACAAACGGAATAAACTCTTGTAATATCAACCCTTTGAATTGATGCCTTATAAATTCTTAATGCAAAGCTAACATATAAAGTGTAAATCAAATATATAGATCCAATAAAACAAAACCTTTTTAATCTTGTTTTACCTTCAGAAGGGTTCTGATTATTGTAATTAAATAATGCATGATATAATAAAGATCTAGGATGTGTGATTATTTCATTGGCAATTGAATATTGGTGCTTTTTTATTTATGCGAGCAATTTATCATAGGCAATATGCATCAAGCATTAAAATATTGATACAATTATACCTATCCTGCTGAACCAATAAAGAAACCTGTGACATGGTTCTGCTGATGATACAAGGATGGTTTGAAATCCTTGTTAAATTTTAATATTCTGATGTGCTGGGTTATGCTAATTCTGGTACAGAATAATATCTCGTGTATCTGCTCTTCTGCCTTTATTTGTGTGCGATTACAAATCCAGCTTCACTTAGCATGGATCGCAAGTACCGCTTTGCTTGCTGCTCCATTGGTCACTCCTAGGAAGAAGCGTTAAAAGACAGCTTTGATTTTCCCTTTTGAGAGTGGAATATTTTGCTATAAATACAACTGTTTAATTCTGCTGCTATTTGCTGTTATTGTGTCTAAGAGTTTTGCAAAGGCCTCTGGCCCAAGTCAGGAATAACTTGCCTGTAGTCAGTGGATTTAGTAAGACTGGTTTCAAAGCAGATGCGTTTTCATTATTGTCCCACTTTCTTAAGCCTACTATCACGGTGTCAAGATGAAACATGAAAGGAACAATCAGCTTCTTTCGGTTGGAACAGCAAATGCCAGGTCAGATGTAAATTGTGAAATTGGGCAGAATTTCCATATCTTTAATCTTCTAAACCTGGTTTCTTTGTAAAGGAACTAAAAAGCTGTACTTAATAGGCCAGTAATTATTTTGCCACTTTCATGCAGGTAAGCTGCGGTGCAGAGGACTACGTAAGGCTGTCTACTGAGCTAGCCTCGTCAGTCAGTTGAAAGTAAGCGTATACTTAACAGCCCACAACCAGAGCACTGGGTGCCCACCTTCATTTGCTATTTCAGCCAAGTCAACTGTCATGTAGAGACTTGTATCTCCTTGAACAGGGTCACGCTGCCGAAGTTTGTACAGGATGAACCTATCCCACCATTCACATGGTCTAATTAATTTTTTGAGGGAACATTCCCAGCATGTGACACGTTTTAACAGCACAAAGAAAACAAAATGGCCTAAACCAAATAGTTGCATCTGTGCTGGCTTTCAGAAATGCCCTTTGGTTATCACTGTTCTTTCAAGTGAGGAAAGAAATTGCAAGCTTCTGAATAAACAGCAGCAGAAAGATCAAAAAGTGCCAGCAAAACATAAGGATTGTATAGCTATGGGTGAAATGAAGCCCATTGCTGAGGGTCATCCTTGAACAGATTCAGGATTTTCAGAGCCCCAGTAGTGAGTTTTTTACTTCATGAAATTATAAACCCATCATTTACATGTCTGATTCACCACGTTGATGAGCACAGCCTGCAAAGTGTTGAACACTCGGTCCTCTTTATGCTCAATGAAGGAAGAAAGCATTTAGTATCCTAGAAAATCAGAAGTTCTGGTTTTCCATAGCTCACCATGAACTTAATCATGGGGTTTCGCATTCTCATAAGAGAATTTTTCTCCTCACTAGATGTACTTGTTTTTCCTCAGTAGATACTGCCTGATCATCACAAGTGTTTCTGTGTTATATTTACGAGCTCCTAGCTTAAATTAAAATCAAGCTGTCAGAATGAATAGTCCAATGACCAACAGCTGGTATCAAGGCAACTACTGAATTTCAGATAAATATAACCTAAGTGGGTAAAGAGGAACGTTTGAATATCAGGGAGTTTTTAAATCCAAAATTGAAAGCTTTCATGGAATAAATAATGGGAAAAAAAGAGAGTTAGTTAATGAAGTAGTTTGCTTGCTAATTGAGTTTAAAAAATGCAGTAATTTGTAGGCATATGCTGGTGTTTATGGTTAATTCCTGTTTCCCTCGCCCCCAGCTTACAGCCAGGAACTATGAAGGGACCACATAATCACAGTGCTGTCACATGGATGACAGTCTGAGGACCCCATGCCTCTACCCACTTGCAATTTGTGGCCACTTTAATGCCATTACTACGTGTGCATATTACCCTTCTGTATGTACATATGTAGGAGCATCAATGTTCTAAAGCAAACGGGTGGTGATGCTTGGTAGATAAGACTATTTTCATTCTCATGTCCATGTATATGCCTTGTTTGAAATTGTTTTGCTCCTTGGTCTGCGTTGTCTCTCTACTGCAGTTAATTGGGTGATGGTTGAGAGAAAGGAATTGGTAACGTGTAGCTTTGAATCATTCGTTGTAAAGAAATAAAGATTCTTGGGGCTTATTAGCACTGGGAAATATATTAATGGTTTACGTGTTCAAGTAGCAGCCTGTACTGCAAATGTGCACCTTCCAATGTAGGTACTTTTTCTCTATGAAAGTAGCTGATTTAGTCAGAAAGGTGACAGTTAGGACTCGTTGCGGGAGGAATTTTTTGCATCTTTGCAGAGTGACTTTTTTTTCCCTGTACTTTACCATAGTGGCTGTCCATCACAGTTGTTATGTATGCAGGCTGAGTGAGCCCGCGGGGGATCCTAGTTATTTACACTCTTTTTCAAGCTTCGAAGCTGTTATAATCATTCGCTGTCAACTTTGTGCTGACACTGAATTTTACTTTGTGGTTTTTTATGCTTGGTTTGGGTCTAAAATACTGGCATCCATACCCTCCACTGTAATTCTATGGGTGACTGAGTTGACCAGCAATATACAGTATTACTAACGGAGCTTTAGAAACCTGCTGCATATGGAGATTTCAGGATTTGTTGATTGTGGACAGTAAACAAAGTCCCCAGGCTTTACGCTTTTATCCAAGTGGTGGCCCTCAGGAATAAGCTGTGTACCGTGTTTCATCTCGTTGCATTTTCATCTGTGGAAGAAAAAAAAAGTAAATATTATTTTCCTTTCCTCCAAAGCTGCAGAGTTAGAGCAGGAAAACTTTTTTCCATTGCATTTTTGATTTTCATACTCGCTTGTTTTTCTCCAGGCCTGTGTTTTAAGCAATGCATATTTGTCTGTGATCACCATATGTTTAGCATGAAGCTGCAGATAGTAGCGGAGCTGGTAATGGGCTAATACTTCAGATCCAAATTGAAATAATGTGTTGTGTGAAATGTTGGGAATAAATTATCATGAAAGAGCATGCATTGACGAATATATTGGGTTTTTACACCCTTTTAGGTTTAGAAAGGCAAATTTTCATGCTTGTGCTTGAATGTCTTTGGTCTGCAGTACAGCGAATAAACTTCTTTCGTGTGTGCACTAAAACCTTTCCCTTATGAACAGGCCTCTTAACCTCAGATGCCATCACACTGCCTGATTCCTGCATGGTTAAAGGGGGAAATATTCATGTCCAAGTTACTGGCTCCCATATGAAATTTCAGGTGCTCTGGGGCCCAAAGGGAGCGATTGCACAAAATGATACGACCCTGTTCTTAACTGGACTTGAAATAAAACTGGTCAAGGAGCTTGTGTGCTTGGTCAATGTAATAACGTAGACAAATAATTACTGAGCAAATCAAACACACTTACACTTCAGATGATTTTGAAATATTATCTATAATCGGGCACTTCTGTGCTAGGAGGAAAGGTTAATAAAGTAATTTAAAAAAGATTGTGTGGAGTATTGCAGAAGCAGAAGAGGACTGGTGATCATAATTGTTAATCTCCTGAAACACCAGTCCTCTACTGCACCAGGCGTATATTTTAGTACAACTCCGTATTGTTCATTCCACTTATTACTGTATTATACTGCTTAATTACCTTTTGTAAGAAATCTTATTTTAGTTTTCTTTAATAACAACTAATACTGATGGAAATATGTCAGAAGAAAAACTGTTTCAAAGTCCTACCTGCTAAGGGTTGAGATTAATACATTTGCAGTAGATAGATGTTTGGAGGCTGAGTGACTACAGAAACTCTGTTGTGAAATACCACAATAATGTGGGTAAATACATCTTCCACTACTCTGTTTCTAGCACTGTTGAGCGTGGATGGAGCCTAGCAGAGAATACAACAAGAAAGAGTGAGGTTTTGCTTTCTGGTAGCTGTGATTAGTTCCTTTGAACCACACAGTTCATGATATTTCAGATAACCAGGATAAGATTATTACTTTTCTTTTAAGGCAAAGAAATGGAGATACAAGCTTAAGCAAATGAATGCTCTGTGTGCAGAAACACCTCATCTTAGTTTTAAGCTGTCTGTTGTTTACCAATGCTGTTACGTTCCTTAGGTAGAACCTTACTGAATGCAGCTGAAATTCATGCAGCCATCATGAAGCTGTACTTGGGCTCACAGTGGTTGAGGTTATAGAGATAGCTAAAGGTTATGGAGCAATTGGGAAGTTAGAATCTTCTTACCCTCATCCAGTGTCGATGAATGGGACTGCTGTGCCATTTTCTGGAGATGCCACAGGTTGTGCTGGTAGCAATTGTGTAGGTCTCTCTTTTGGGAAGCCGGTGAGTTTTGAGATGGACATTTGTAATTTTGGCAGGAAAATGTTGTTCACACAGCATAACTTCACTGCCACTTGCCAATCCTGGTCATTCATGGCAAGAGAGAAAGAAAGAGAGGAGGAGTTGTGTGTGTGTGTGGTTTTTTTTCATGAGTTTGGGTTCATCTCTCACTCCTTTAAGTGTAGCTTCTCCTAGATACTGAAATGCTTCCATCAAGATAAACCCAGAAGCCTTCCTGTGGCCATATACATTGCTAGCTACCCCACCAGTATCTCTGTGCCCACTGCTCATCTTTAACCCAGAATGTCACATTTACCTTGTAAATGGAGCAGAAGGTATGTAGCAGTTTGAAATGTGGAGTCTACTGCAATTCCTGTTGTCTCCTGTGCCATTTGCCTCCTCTTGGATGGCTGTTTCCAGAAATACAGTGACAGCAGCTTGCAGCTCCTGCAGAATACTTCCCCTGATTTATGGTAGCGTGGCTGCTGGTCAGGGTAGCAGGAGAACCAAGATGATGAATATAATGGTAAATATTTATAACAGTGAGTTTATTGTGCACATATTACTATGGCTTGAATTGAAAGAAGTCTACTGCAAGCAGACGTGACTTTGTGAGAGAAACACAGGCCTGTTCCCCATCTCCAGGGGATATAATCCTGAGGATGTCTCAACAAATTGTTTTCTCTAGCGCATAATTTTGGCTGGTAGCAACTAATGTTGAACGAGGATACGGCTGTTTCTTGCATCTTCTTTAAAAATTCACCTGAGTGATTCAGTTCTGGTCGAAACAGCTTCTTGTTCTCTCATTTATAACACAAATATCTGAGTATGGTGTTGAGCTTTGTCATCTGCACAGTTCTATATCAAGATTGGAGTTTCCATGTAACCGTTGGTAGATATAAGGTATGCAGGTAGGGAAGGAAACTGGATAACATCTATATGGGCTTTACATAATTAAGGCCAGAGCACAGCACAATGGGACTTTCTTTTTTGCAAATGAGAATCCAGAATTTCACACTCTGAATATCTGAGTTACAATACACTGAACAGGGTAGAAAAGCAATATAGTCATAGTAATTACTTTCATCTGGCAAAATATTTCAGTCAGCAACGACTAGCAATAAAGTCAAATGATCACCTTTAGTATATCTGTTACAAAAACAACTCTCTCAAATCAGAACAGCTTAAAATAGCCACTGGAATATAAAGCATCAGTTCTGGAGTCACACATTGCTTTCCTGTTTTCACGGGCTGTGGTACGCTCCAAACAATTGGCTTGAAATGCAAGGGATGGTTTCAGGCAAAGGGGGGGAAATTACTTCAATTAAAGATGCCTAAATGAAGAGAATACTATCCATCATGTTGCTACAAAAATAAAATCTAGTTTTTGGGCATTTAGGTTTTATACAAATCACTTATATCCTCTTTAAAAGAGATCTTTTTATTATTTTTTTTTTAATATATAAATATAGTGAATGTGAAACACCATTAATCCAGTAGTAATATCATCTGATAGTAGTTAATCCCTTCTTAGGGATAGCTTTGCCTGGTCCTTTGGAATATAGAAATGTGCTTTTACTGTTAGGCATTTTGTTCAAGCATCAATCAGTTCTTAATGCTTAATTGTCTTCTTTTTTGCCCCCTCTATAAAAGACCACCAAGTAAAATGAATACTGTCTTCAAAGGTATTTCCTTGGGAGTCTTATTACATTCCTTAGCCAGTCATTTTGTATTCTAAGGTTATGGATCAAGGGCAGTGCCATGCCTGTGGTTTGGACTTGGCTATCTGCTGTGACAGGATGATGCAGACGTACCAGAAGATCCTAATCTGTCAGAGGAAGTCTATTAAGTTCAAGCCCCTAAGCTGTCTCAGCCAAATCAGTGATACCAAACTTACATTTGTTTTTGTGATGACCATTCATTTTGGTCAAATGAAGAAATTGCTAGTGTGGGTTTTGTGGCTCCAGGGGTGAAATCTATGAATGTCACGTATCTTTTAGAGCCTCTGCTCTCTCTGAAACATCATTGGGAATGCTTTTGAATGGGGGGGGTGTGTGAAAAAAACCCCAACGCACAACCATTTTTATTGCAGCTGTTTATAAGTCACCTTGATGATAAAAAGTTGGGGAAAAGAAGCATTAACTTCTATAGAAATAATTCTTTTTGCAGAATAATAGATAAGGTTGGGAAAAAAGCTAGGCTGTCTGCAGACAACTGTGTAGCAGGAAGAAAAAGCAGGTTTGAAATACATCCGGAAAGATTCATTGTGTTTTAAAATGGTAGCAAGCACTGTTACAGACTGTGGACCTTAGACTTGTTTGGAAAGCTGGGGACCTGGCTGGTTTTGAGGTCCCCTGAGTGCAGGAGACTGAATAAGAGAAAGAAGTATTTTCCTGATATTTTCCTAATTTCATCGATGTAAATACAGTTTTTCAATTTGTTTAAATATCCACCATTATATACTAAGACATGTATCAGATTAGACCATTTTGTGCTGATTTAGCCATAGAATTAAAAATACAGGGTAGATTTGGGCCATTTTGGGGGAGATAAGAACAAATTTCTTATTTTGTAGCTTTTGAGCTCCAAAGCATTTTCTGTCTCAATAGTATTTGATATTACTCTTTCCTTCTCTCTCTTTTGGCAGATTGTAAGGTAAAATTTGGTCCCTATTGAAGTCAGATTTTGGCCATACGCTTCAGTGAGATCTAGTTTACCTTCTGTACATAGTCCCTATTTGGCTGCTGCTTGTCTGGTAAGCCTTCCACCAAGGAAGATCTGAACTTGTGAATCCAGGGTGAATCCACATGATTTAGTGAATCTAAAGTATTGTATTTGGTTATGTTGGGAGTTTTCATCACTTCAGTGGGGCCATGCTCAAAGTAAAACTTGCAGACCAGATCAAGCAATAAATGGCAACATTGGGTTAACCTTCGATATGCGAAGAGATTGTGTGTGCAGTTGTGTAGGTTGGGAAGGTGTTGTATCCCTCTGAAACGTTTCTGACACTTGGCTCAGCTTTTAATTTGTTCTGTTTTCCTTCTGGGTGGGGCTGGTTAGAAAACTGCAGTCAAAACCATTGCATAAAGGGTGTGGAAAAGAGGAAAGCAAGATCTGGTGGTTAGAAAACGTGAGTTTGATTATGCCATGCTGCACCCCAGCTTTATGAGCTCCGTTCTCCTACTGTTTAGTTAGAATTCTCACCATGGGAGAGTCTTATTTATAAGTTTATGTGGCTCTCCACTCCTCTTCCCATTCCTTTTGACCCTGCTCCTGTTCTCTCCTCCTCCCTGGTTGCCAGCTACTCTACTTAAGCCAGCTAATTCTTCAGGAGGGCCTGTTTCCTCAGGAATGTGAAATGGCTTTCAAAATCCTGAGCTAATTCACCAAGTTCCACAACTAGCAATAACATCTGGATGCAAAATGTGTGAATGGAAAGCTGCTGCGAGAGGGATTAGGGAATAGATATAGAATGGAAAAAAAACCAAACTACTCAGGCTTTTTTGGTCACGTTTTGAAAAGTAGGCTATGTTTAGACTAATGGGGCTTTTTTTACCTAGGAAATTACACTAGAAAATTAATCTAATGAATGCCTTTCCTGCATAAGGGTAAGATAAACATGATTTTTAGGTTTTTTATAGCCAAATAATTTCAGAACGTGATGCATACATAAAAAGGAAGTGATTTTTTTGTGTACTTGCCTTTATGTAAAAAGGTACAAGGTGTGTCACTTCTCCTGGGTCTCTCAAAATGGATCGCTGACTGTGAGAGATAGTAATTAATACACATTTTTGCGCAGGAAAATCAAGTTTGCAAAGATGTAGTTAGGGCCATTTGCTTCCAGAAAGGTAACATCGGAAGGAGAAAAAAGAGAAATATTTTTTAATTGTAGAAAGTGCTGAGTTATTTAAAAAAAAAAAAGGAATTTAATTTAAAAGCTAACCTTCCAAAACTTTATTCGTGTGCCTGCCCCTTTGTTCTCATCAATGCCTTCACTGGAAACACTGTTGTGAAGCCTAATAATAGGCAATGCCAGCACCAACTGTGTAAGTTCCCAAACAAGTTGGGCCTGAACTGTATGTTTGAAAACCAGCTTAAATTTATCCCCGTGCTCAGGAACCTGCAGGACTGTTGCCTGTCTCTCATCCCCATTCAGAGGGATATTAGCATGCATCAAGCTAAGGTGTGAATTTACAGCATCGTCGCAACACCGTGCTAAGTCTCAGTCACACTTTTAAGCTTGCACTGAGAGCACCTTTGCGTGGTTTGCTTTAGCAGAAGTGGTTTCGGGGTGCATCTGCAATGCAGGTAAAGATGTGCCTGAAATCAGTGTGCCTGAAGTCCACTGTATGCAGATGGCCTTGCAGACATCTCATCACAGGGACCGCATCAATATTAACGCTGCTTCCGGCTTCTACTTTTGGAACCATGTATAGCTCAGCACTGCCACAGCTGCACTGCTGCCAGTTTAAAGGTGCAGTGTAGCCTGCTCTCACCCTGAAATGTGCTTCCTGTCTGCACTCAAACACCGTCTTCTCTGGACCAGTTTGGACATGAGTCGCTAAGCACTGTGGGTTTACAGTTGATCTACAGAGTATGTCAAGCGAAAAAGGCAAGGCTTCACCATCCTTTGGTGTAAGGTCAAGCACATAGGTGGTTCAGTCTAACCTAGGCTGAGCTTGCCTATCTGAGTAGCCCAGATTAGGTTAGTGGGTGTTTCTGCCAAGGTCAGCAAAGCATTTCTCTGTCCTGGCTTTGACAAACTGGTGCTCTGCAGATCCACCTGCTGCTTCTGCAGTGGTTGCAGAAGAAAAAGGAGATTCCATGTTGCTCTGTGGGCTGATACGTATTGGAAAATGCAATGTTCAGCTAAGTGGAAAAAAATCGGAGATCAAACCCCAAAATCAAACCTGCAGCACATTTTTGTTGCTGTCTTTGTGCTTCAAAAAAAATTATCTGTTCTCAAAATTAAAATGGTAGAAACCAAGCTGGTGAGCTCGCTCTAAAATGACATGTAAAGGTATTCCAGCTAACCGCTTCTGCCCCCCCCCCCAAAAAAAAAGCAAGAAACTGGGAAAAAATTCCCATCTCAGATTCCAGCAGATTGGACTGATCCCTCATATTTCGTCTTTCCAGTCACTTGGATGTGGTGGTTAATCATTCATGCGTGTTTTGAAACTGAAGTTGCTGATTTTCTGCTTTGGACTGCATTTAGAGCAATCTGAGGGATGCTGTAACCCCGATTAGCTGGCTACCCTGGAGTGAAAAAGTGTCTTGCTACTGCAGAGATGTTGTGGGTACTTTGGGCACCCCTTGGAAACCCCCAGGAAAGTCCTTGCACTCCATTCCTGAATGAGCACAAAGAAGAAGTTCCCAAGACAGTTTCCTGTCAGGCAGAATACCCTGTGATATCGGTTCTTTCTGATTGCTCCTGCAGACTGGAGAAAAACCCTGTTTGTTTTTAAAGCCCCCATGTATGTGTACAGAACTGATTTGAATAATTTTAAACAAGTAGCAATATACGATATTGTTGCTTATGGCAGTTGAACAACTAATCTGCTCGATGCAGTGATACTAAATACGCTTCAGAGAGCGTGTGTCAGTCGCCCGGTGTGTGTGTTAGAGCTCTTCAATAAGGCTTTAGTTATTTCAAGTCAGTATTTTCCCTTAGAATCCCCCCAGCTAGAAAATAAAATGAAAAGCCAAGCATCAACCTTGCATTTCAAATATAAACTGGAAACAAACCCAATTTACAATTCACTCGACGAAAATAGTTCTCTTCTGCTATAATTCAATTCACATTTGGTTTGTTTGAGGATTCATGTATTATAACCCTTCTTGCTCGCACTTTGGAGTATCTTTGTTTGTTGCATCCACTAAAGCTGAGTTTTATTTCTTTTATTGTTATCATCTTTATTTTTCTGGGTTTACATTGTAAGTGGAGGCCTCCCCCTCCCGACAAGACCTTCCACCTGAGGGCAGCACAGTCATCAGCTCTCACTAACTTACGCAGAGTCAATCTTTCTCATTCCAGTCCAGCTTCATCGCAGTTCCAGGTCAGGTTTTGTTTTAATCCCCCCCTTACATTGTTTGCAATAATGAGATATGATCACTCTAACTTTTCAAACCTTTCAACTTCATTTGACTGGGAGCTGCATCCTTTACTTTACGTTAAAATATAGAGAATTTACCTCTGTTGTTCCCTGTGCCATTATAGCGTACAGCATCTTTCTTTGTCTTACCTTAATGTATTAATGCTAGAAGTAGCATATGCAGAGTGAGGTGCTAGGAAGGGCTGGATATCACTATGAAGATGTATGCTTTTAACTTCATGCTATTCCAAATGAAACTGAACCTTTTTTTTTTTTCCTCCTATTCTGAGATTTCTTCTCTTAAAGTGGATGCTGACAGTGCAAGAGGTAACACCTTTCAGCAGGTAAAATATGTTGTTATGGAAGGGATGTATGGCAGGGCTGCTGACAACAATTAGCACATGCTACTCATTAACAAATGGAGTTTACAACTGAGCCGAAATGGCAGGCTGCCATCAGTGTGATAGTTACGGGGCAGTTTAATTTCTAACGAATGTGAGCACTGGATTAGTAACAATATTCAACAAAATGCTGCCTGCATTCTCTTATGGCTTTCATTACCAAATTGAAAATCTGTGTAGATTTCTGAAAATTACTTTTAAATGTAGCCAATCTCCTCGACTGCAAGGCTTGATTTGCTGGTGAGGGAGTCCTGCTGTGAGATTTTAATGAAAGATCATAGTGCCCCTCCAAGACCGTCAAAGAGCTATGGGCCCTAAAAGACCTGAAATAATCTGTTTTACTTTTAATGGCAGCCATTTTATATTCATTAAGATCAAAATGCAGTTTTGCAGGCAAATTGCAAAGCTGTTCCACTCACAGCTTGAGAACCTGGAGGCCCTACAGCTTTTTATCTTGTTCATAAGCAAATATGCAGTTAATATCTTTTAATATGCTTTGATGCTTGGTACCTTATGGGTACATTGTACTGGAGGTTAGAGAACTGCATGTTTCTTTGGCAGTGCTAGCAACGAACTAAAGCACTAGTCCTTTTATTTCCATAATGGCAGAAGAAATGAGTCTTTTTTTTGCCTTTCCCCCCCTTTTTTTTAATACGAGCTCTGCTCAAATAAATTGTAAAGCACGGTGTAGTATATGTTCAGGGTCTCGTCCAAGGCACCTTTTTTTCACTACATTCCATCTGTTGGTGGTTCTTATTATTTAAATTTATACGGCCACATTATTTAAATGTAAACAGCCAAATAAGATAGGATCAAATCATTGGCATCTGGGAACTGTGCTCTTATCCTCTTTGATTGTGAGGTTGTGTGCATTAATAATGGAGTTCTAAAGACTGTGATTCCACCTGATATACTGTATGACCTTAACAGTTGTGATTTTATCAGGGTTTCACTGTATGAGAAAATGAAGATATTTTGCAGCTCATTTCTGGCAAGGTTAGTTTGCATTACCTCCTGTCCAGAGTAACTCTGATTTTGTGTGTGTGTGTGTGTATTTTAAGTATGATTTTGGTCCTTGATTGCTGTGTTTCTGCTCATGTTACAAATTGCATTCCCTCAGATTGTTTTCAGTGAATGAACTTTACTTTCACGCTATGTGTGTTGGTTTAATTGCATGCTTCGAGTGATGCGTTGTCATCTCATTGCGAGTTGTGGCAAACTTATCACTGGTGGGCACAATTCTGCTCTGCTCTGAAGATGTAGCTCAGGATCTAGGGTTGCAAAGAGGAAGCCCCTCACTGGAACGGGACAGTGGGAAAGGTACTTAAATAAGCACCCTCTCTGAAGGATGGAAGTATGCAGAAGTTTGTTGTGGTGAGCATTTTCTGTATCTTACCTATAGGGTAAAACTTAACTTTTCCTGTCTCTTTTTTCCTCTTTTCTGTTGTTATCCAGTAGAAGGTGCAAGAGTGTCATGCCCTGTTTTTCCTCTTCCAGCCAAGAAGATCCACTGGAGGTCATATAAAGAAAAGTGTCAAAACTAGTTGATTTAAGAAAGTGGTGTCAGCCTCTTTATGGAAGCTATTTCCAATCGTGTTGTCTCAAAAAGAGAAAAGAAATTGCATTAAGACAGCTCCATCAGGAGGGCGGGCTCACTGTCCCGGGGTCCTCCCAACTTTGTGCGTCTCTGTGCCCCACAGCCTATTACAATATTGCATGACATGTTTACAAGTTCTAACATCTTACTTTGTGCAACTGCCTAGCTTCCTTGCAGGGGCAGAGAACTTCAAGCTTTGTATGTCTGGCAAAGATGAGGGAATTTGATAACCTTCTCTCTTTGGGTCTTAGGGCGAGTTGAATGCGTCTGGCCTGCCAAGGCACAATTTAATGGGCTTCTGAAAACACTCAAAAGGCAGACATAAATGTGTGGATGGGCAGGCAGCCAGGGTGACCTGGGGGATGGGGCCAGTCTGATTTTAAGTAGGGTAAGGTCGT